GGCATTGAATCGTGTGAACAAGAAAGATAAATAGCAACAGAATTCAACAGAACAAATCGAACCAGAAATGGATGACGGAATAGAAAATGCAAACAACAACAGAAACAATGCAAATGAACCAAACAATCAGGGTGTGGTGCCTTTTGTACCAGAAGCAGCCTTGTATGATTGGTCACAGCCCACCGTCGAAAATCTGGCAACAGCAATTGCAGTCCCTCAGATACAAGCGGAATCATTTCAAATCACGAACAACATGCTACATTTGTTGCAGAACAAGGGACTGTTCTCAGGGTCTTACATTGAAGATCCTCAGCAGTATCTGAAAACTTTCCTGTCGATATGTGTCATGCAAAGGCAACCAAATATGACATCGGAAGTAATAAGGTTGTTGTTGTTTCCATTCTCGGTGACGGAAGAAGCTCAGACTTGGCTCAATTCACTCCCCATAAATTCTATCACTACTTGGGAGGAATTAGTCAAGTAATGTTTGAACAAGTTCTACCCACCTAATAAGACTGCCAAACAAATTGACGAGATATTAAGCTTCAGGCAGAGACCAACAGAGACATTATAAGAAACGTGGGAGAGGTTCAAAGGTATGCTATTTAAGTGTCCTCATCATGGCATTCCAGATCAGATGTTGGGGCAAAGGTTCTACATGGGATTGGCAGACATCTTGAAGGCTAATGTTGATGCTTCAGCAGGAGGAGCATTTTTGAGCAAATCATTCAGAGAATGCAAGATTTTACTAGATAAAATGGCTCAAAACTCAGGATGGATGACAAGAGACTCTACGATCACTCATGTTGTTCACTCAATGGATTTGGATCCAAACAACTCCATAGCTGAAAATATGGCCACTTTGATGACGCAAATGAGTATCCTCACCAAAACGATTGATGAATCAGGCCAGAAACAGAAGGTACATATAGTTGACGTGACTAATGGGGGTTTATGTACACCATGCATCAACCAACCTTATGTATGCTCGTGGAGTGCGGAAAGTCACAACCAGAACCATCAGTAGAATATGAACTATGTGGCCAACTATGGAGGATAGCGGCAAGGTGGTCAGAATTGGAGGCAGTAGAATCAGTAGTATAGACCAGCACAGTAGCAGTACAATAATGGTAACAATCCTGGATCCATGAGACCACAGGGTCAAGTTGTGTCGTACCAAAGACAACAGAGCTACAATCAGCAAAATCAGCAGCTAGCTTATCAACAGCCTCAACAACAACAGATTGTGAGACAAGATGATGAGTTTGCTGAACTTAAGAGAATGCTGGACAGCAACAACAGAATGCTGCAACAACTGATTGGGTCCACTGGAAAAATGCAAGAGAGAGTGGACTCACATGAATCAGCGATAAAGGGTATTGAGATTCAGTTAGGGCAGATCTCTATGGCTCTAAACAATCATCCCCAAGGGACGCTACCTGCAGACACACAAGTCAATCCAAAAGAACATGGCCCGAAGCAGCTTATGGCGGTGAGTTTAAGAAATGGTAGAGATCTTGATCTAGAGCAAGAAATTGCTCGCGAAAGTCAACCAACTGAAATACTTGTGCCAGTATCAATCGATATAGATTATTCGACAGGGTTAACAGAGGTGACGGTACAACATGCACTAGCTAAATCTAACAAAGAAAAAGATATTGCAAAGGAAACTGAGTTAGTGAAAGAGAAGACAATCGAAACAGAGCCCGAGCAGGTTCAAACTTAAACCACAGGAAAGAAGCGGCCTCCAGCACCCTTCCCCCAGAGATTGGCCAAATATCAGAAAGATGAGCAGTATAAGAAATTCATGGAGATGTTGAAGCAAATCCAGATGAACATCCCATTGATTGATGCCTTGAAGGAAATGCATGGTTATGCTAAAATGATGAAGGACTTGATGTCTCGTAAGTTCGACTTTCAAGACTTGGCCACGGTTACACTGACTCAGACATGTAGTGTTGTTGTGATGAGACTCATAGCTGAGAAGCTGTCTGACCCAGGGAGTTTCACAATTCGATGCACAATAGGTAACTATGCTTTTGCTAAGGCACTTTGTGATTTGGGGGCGAGCATAAACCTGATGCCATTGGCTATTTATAAAAGGTTAGGCATTGGAAGAGAAAGACCCACATCCATGTTACTACAGCTAGCCGACCGAAAGGTGAAGAGGCCCTCAGGTATACTTGATGATGTGCTGGTGCAGGTTGGAAAGTTCGTGTTTCCGGCAGATTTTGTCATTCTGGACTGCCGGGTTGACGAGGAGATTCCCATAATTTTGGGGAGGCCATTATTGTCCACCGGGAGAGCTCTAATTGATTGTGAAACTGGGAAGGTAAAGATGAGACTGAACGATAAAGAGATAACGTTCAATATGCAGAAATCTATGTGGCGACCCAGTGAGTTTGCTAACTGCTCTCTGATAGAGGTTGTGGATGTGATTTTGGAGGAGAAAGATGAGACTCTGAATGCAAAAGACCCTCTAGCAGCATGCCTCATGAACTTAGAAGAAATGGATGGTGAGGACTTGGCAGAGTGGGTTTTGGCCCTTGAAGGGCGAGGGTACTGGAAAAGAGAGCTTGAATTCGAGCCCTTACACTTAGAAAAAAGAAAATACCTCCAGCTAAGCCATCAATTGAAGAGCCACCACAGTTAGAGCTAAAATCGTTACTGTTTCACCTCAGTTTGTTAGATGTGCAGGCAGAACAGTTTTTGCAGGTGTTAATGGAATGCAAGACTGCAATTGGCTGGACCATTGCAGATATTAAGGGGATCAGCCCGTCATTTTGTATGCATAAGATTCTACTGGAAGATGGGCACAAACCTTCCAGAGAACATCAAAGAAGGCTGAACCCTACAATGAAAGAAGTGGTGAAGAAAGAAGTGATCAAGTGGTTAGATGCGGGAATCATCTTGCCAGTTCAGTATGTGCAAAAGAAGGGTGGAATAACTGTAATGCAAAATGAGAATAATGAGTTGATCTCGACTCGTACAGTCACGGGTTGGCGAATTTGCATGGATTATAGAAAACTGAACACGGCCACCCGGAAAGACCATTTTCCCTTGCCATTCATTGACCAAATATTGGATAGATTGGCAGGGAGGTATCACTTCTGTTTTTTGGATGGATATTCGGGGTATAATCAGATTTCAATATCCCATGAGGATAGAGAGAAATGTCATTTACTTGTCCGTATGGCATCTTTGCCTTTCGGAGAATGCCGTTTGGCCTATGCAATACACCGGCCACCTTTCAGAGGTGTATGTTAGCCATTTTCACTGATATGGTTGAAGATATTATGGAAGTCTTTATGGATGATTTCTCAGTGGTGGGGGATTCATTCGAAGGTTGTCTTCACAATTTAAGAAGAGTGTTGAAAAGGTGTGTGGAAACAAATTTAGTGCTAAACTGGGAGAAGGGCCATTTATGATACAAGAAGGTATAGTGTTGGGGCATCAAGTGTCCAGTAAGGGTATTGAAGTTGACCATGCTAAAGTTGACGTGATTGAGAAGTTTCCCACCGCCACTTCAGTCAAGGCAGTAAGAAGTTTCCTTGGGCACGCCGGTTTCTACAGGCGATTTATAAAGGATTTCTCTAAAATTGCTAACCCATTATGTAAACTCCTTGAAAAGGATCACTCCTTTGTGTTTTCTGATGATTGCAGGTTAGCATTAGAGGAGCTGAAGAAGAGACTGGTGACTGCACCAATCATTGTTGCACCCAACTGGGAGCAACCGTTCGAGCTCATGTGTGATGCGAGTAACTATGCTATAGGAGCAGTTCTGGGGTAGCGAAAGGACAAACTGGTGCACCCAATTTACTATGCAAGCAGAACACTAAGCGGTGCACAACTCAATTATACCGTGACTGAAAAAGAGATGTTGGTTGTGATGTTCGCATTCGACAAATTCAGGTCTTATTTGATTGGTTCAAAAGTGATTGTTTATACTGACCATGCAGCACTTAGGTACCTGATAGTAAAGAAGGAGTCAAAGCCACGATTGATCTATTGGGTTCTTTTGCTAAAAGAATTCGATTTGGAGATCTGCGATAGGAAAGGGGCAGAGATCCAATTGTAGACCACCTTTCAAGGTTTGAGGGAGCTAAAAAGAAAGTAGAGGTAGAAGATATAACTGAGACATTCCTGGATGAACAATAACTAGCAGTGGCAATGGAGGAGGCGCCATGGTATACAGACATTGCAAACTACCTGGCGAGCGGTATTGTCCCCTATAACCTTTCCTCAATCTAAAAGAAAAAGTTCTTTCATGACTGTCGCATGTATTATTGGGATGAGCCTTATCTGTTGAGGATTTGTATTGATAACATGATCCGGAGATGTATCCCCGAGATAGACTGATCTTATATTTTGCAGGCTTGCCACGCGTCACCATATGGTGGCCATTTCGGGGGAGTAAGGACAGCTGCGAAAGTGCTGGAGTCGGGCTTCTACTAGCCAACATTGTTTAAAGATGCACACTTATGGGTGAAGTGGTGTGATGAATGCCAACGAACCAGGAATATTTTCCGCCGACATGAGATGCCTATGAACCCAATTCAGGAGGTAGAAATGTTTGACGTATGGGGAATCGATTTCATGGGGCCTTTCGTTAGCTCATATGGCAACAAGTACATACTCGTAGCGGTGGACTACGTGTCAAATGGGTGGAGGCTACAGCGCTCCCTACAAATGATGCAAAGGGGGTAATTGGTTTTCTGAGAAAGAATATATTCACCCGATTTGGCATCCCAAGGGCAATAATCAGTGACGGAGGCACTCACTTCTGTAATCGCACCTTCTCCAAGTTGTTAGAAAAGTATGGTGTACGCTACAAGGTTGCCACCCCATATCATCCCCAAACGAGTGGGCAAGTGGAAGTTTCGAATAGAGAAATAAATAGCGTTTTGACAAAGAATGTGAATGCCATGAGAACAGATTAGGCGAGAAAGTTAGATGATACACTCTGGGCTTATCGTACCGCTTTCAAAACTCCGATTAGCATGTCACCGTACAAATTGGTGTTTGGGAAGGCATGTCACTTACCAGTAGAGTTGGAGCATAGAGCCTTGTGGGAATTGAGGCAGTTGAAACTCGACATAGAAGAGGCGGGTACAAGTAGAGTTACTGAGTTGCACGAGCTTGATGAGTTTCGCTACCAGACTTTTGAGAGCGCAAGACTATATAAGGAGAGAATGAAGATGATGCACGACAAAAATATTATTGAGCGGAACTTTAAACCTGGAGATATGGTATTGCTGTACAATTCAAGATTGAGGTTGTTTCCAGGCAAGTTGAAGTCAAGATGGTCGGGACCATTTCGTGTGGTAGAGACGCATCCAACTGGAGCCGTCGAGATTACATCGGAAGATGGCTCACGCAAGTTCAAAGTTAACGGACAAAGGCTAAAACATTACCAGGGCATGGTTGAGGAAGACAAAATGATCTCGACCGTGTACTTGAAATATCCCTGTTAAGAGATAACCCGAGCCGTGTCGCGACGTTAAATCATGCGATTCTTGGGAGGTAACCCATGAGTTTGTTGTAATTCGTCGTGCCGCGATGTTAAATCAAGCGCTACTTGGGAGGCAACCCAATTTGAATTGTAGAAGTATTGATAGGTTTATAAATGTGCAGGGATGAATGTGTGCGGGCTGGAATGACTCGGGGTGAAGAAATCAATCCGAAGAGTGGCTAAAAGTGGCTCAAGTGGAAAAGCTGGAAAGACAAACGTGTGCGGCCGCGCACCAACCGCGCACAGGCCACGTATTTTTCAACCCCCATTGTCACACATGCGCGGCCGCGCACTGACCGCGTATATGGCCGCGCATTTTTGGACCTTCAATGCCACACGTGCGCGGTCGCGCACCAACCGCGCACTGGGCATCGTTTTGTAGGGTATTTAATTAGTTTAATTTTATTTATTTTTTCTTTTCTTTTCTTTCTTCTTTATTTGTTTTTCTTTTATTAATACCCCCCCCCCCCCCTCGCCTCTCCTAAATCTGAAACCCCCCTCTCTAAACACAAGAAACAAACGCCCAAACCCTCTCTTCTCCCCAATTTCAAAATCAAAACCTACACCCTTCCCCTCATCTCTCCCACTCAATCACTTCCCAACCCAAATCCTCACAAGTTCCCTCAGGTAAGTGCCATGGTTTCCGTTTCCCTCTTAATTTAGCTAGTTTTTTCTTTTCTTTTCTTTTCTTTGTATTGTAGTAGAATTCATTGTTGTTCTTTTCTTTTCTTTGTATTGATAGTATACTTGTTTGTATATGAGGTTATAGTTGAATTTCATCTTGTTGGGTTGGATTAGACGTTGGTATAATTGTGCTGGATTTGAGGTTATAATTAGGTGTTTGGGGAGTTTGGGTGCACTTGCACATCAAGTGTTTGTATAAATGCCACAGTGAGTTCGTGAATGTAATTTTGTGACCAATTATGCTGGTGAAGTCTGAGTAACCGCTCTTGGTTCACACATCGTGCCTTTTACTGATAGTGGTATTTGTTTCAGGTAGTATGACGCTTTCCAAGAAATGACGAACCACAGGTGCCTCTTCTAGTGGTCACGCAGGCTCATCTCGGGCACGGGCCTTGACCAATGCACCTCAATTTGATAGCACAAGGTTCGTATCCAGCTCAGCCTAGGAACGTTTTAGTCACAAGGGCCCTAAGAAACCCATACCGAAATGGGGAATTGATATGGGGTCCCTCCAGAATGACTGTCCTAATATGTATCTGGAATTGGTTCGGCGCAGGTTGGGTATATTATTTGAAGAACCTGATGACCCAAATTTAATGATTGTGCGATAGTTCTACGCGAACTGCTCCGAACATATGGATCATGACTGCACGGTACGACAAAAAAGTGTGGATGCATCTATCGACGCCATTAGGAGAGTTTATCGGTTGCCAGTATTTGATGGGGCGGAGGACTATTATGATACCTATAGCAGAGAACCAACCTCCTCGAATTTGTTTTTTAGAACAATTTGTGTGCCAAACAAAGATGTAGTGTGGATTACGTAGGGGCGAAAGTTTCACTCGGCTTCGCTCACCTTTGAAGGGAAGTGTTGGCTTTATATCATCAATAGCCGCATGTTGCCTTCGTCTAACACCACTGAGGTGATTGGTCCCCGAGCTGCACTGATCTGGTGCTTTATAAATGGCCACGATTTTGATGTGGCTAAGGTTATTCACGACGAAATGTTCATTCGTTGTCCAGTGCAGAGGTATGGGTTCTTCTTTCTTTTCCTAATCACTAGATTATGCCTGGCACTACGTGTACCAGAGAACAGGCACTTGGATGGAAAAATTAAAAAAGAACAGAAATTCCAGGCTGATAAAGTGACCATTGGGAAGGATCGTGTGGTACCTGTTGAAGCAAATAACGATGGGTCTGATGCTCCAAATGAGGATAATGAAGGTCAAGCTGAGGTTGTGGCTGCTTCGCCCCCGCATGAGCAGGTTGCTGAGGGAACATCGGTCGTCAGATGGGACACGAGAATGACAGCCTTAGAGCAGGAAATGGCAGGGTTGCATACGTCTATCACGGACATGGGAGCTAGAGTGGATGCCCTTGCTACCCAAAATGCAAAATCTGAGAGGAGGGTCATGGCATGGCTACGTGCACTTGGCAAGGCTTGCCATCTCGACCCCAGCACTGTCTCCGACCAGGACTGACTCTATCAAGGAAGTCCTTTACCTTGCATTTTTTCTTTGTGTGACATGTGGATATGCCGTCATTTAAAGTGTGGGGTGGGGGATATCTTTTATTTATGTTGTATATATATATATATATATATATATATATATATATATATATATATATAGTAATGTAGATTAGTGTTAGTTTCTTTGGTTAGTTAAATTTAAAAAAAACTGAGTGAAAATTTTAAAAGTTTCGACTTTTCCCGACGATGGATATCATTCGACGGGTTTCTTGAGGGATTAAAGTCGAGTAAAAAAAATAAAAGATTTTCTTTTGTTGGTAGTGTATCAACTCCCCCTTGGTTTTTCTTTGGGTCGCGGTTCTTTTCCAAGGGTTTCGTTTGAACTTGGTGTAGTTAGTTTTATTTTTTTTAGAAGTAGGAACCCGTGGGCTATAGGCTGAAATAAAAACAGGGTCTCTCAACTTCGTTATGCCTTGAGAATAGCGAGTACGGTAGTGTGATGCTTAGGTTCAGTTGTTGACTCCTGTATATGTGCCTTAAATTATATGTTCTTAACTTGGCTTAAGTGCTTTGACTAGAGTGTTTTGATGATCCAATCTGGACTGAGTCATGTGGCATGTGTGTGTGAGGTTTGTTGTATTTTGTGCATTGCATTTGATTTCTAGAACTTGTCCCGTTTGTTTGCAAAGCGAAATAGTAGTTTTGTTCAGTCTTGGAAGTGATATAGGTGTTTCTTTGTTGAGCTAGATATGTATATTTTACCCACCTAATTGTTATGTATCGTAGTTAACCCCTTTGAGCCGCAATCATGTTTCTTTGGCAACCACATTACAAGCCTTACCTTACTTGAATAGTTATGAACTTGGTAAAAGTTAAAGTGTGGGTTGGTTGGTTTGGCTTTTGAGTAAAACTAATGAAATAAGGAGAAAGGTGCACTGTTTTGAAAAAGTAAGAGTCATTTGAAGTTTAAATATATATATTCATTGATAAATGGTGATTCTTGATGTGAGTGTGCTTAAATAATTGGAGTTAATGTATATTGAGTTGAAGGTGGAGTATGGTTTGACATAAGTGTGGGGTTCTGACTGCTAAAGTGTATGTAGAAAAATGCTTAGGGAGGTTGAGTCACTCTTTTATACAAATGTATCATTCCCGTCCTGCAGCCTACATTACAACCAGTTAAAAGTCCTACTTGATCCTTAACTGAATGAACTCGATTAGTAGAGTAGTACACTACGGGCAAGCCTATGGAGCATCTTTTGTAGCATATGAATATCGTTTCTGATAGTGAGTGAATTCTGTCTATTTTTGAAGTTCCTCATTGTTCGTGAATTTTATTAATTGTGGGACGAGCCTTTTTTGTTGTGAGCAGGAACTTGATTCATGAAGGAAGGTAATTCTTGACCTCTGTGTTAGAGTAAGTAAGTAAGTTGGAAGTAATGCGTGGTGCTTGTGAGTCAACTCTTGAGGTGAAAATGTTACACTATCGTGCTTAATCTATGTGAAATATTCTTTGTGTGACGAGTTAGGAAAGTCGCTTAGTGAAGTTGTGTCTATGTAGAGTGTGGTTTGATTGCTCGAGGGCGAGCAATGGTTTAAGTGTGGGGTATTGATAGTAGGCTATAATTATGTAGTTTGGCCACTATTTTCACTCTAAATTGGCTGCACTTTATTGATGTTTGAGTGTTAAATGATATTAAATTGCTCTGATTGAGAACTTTATGCCTTGCAGGAGCAATTTCGGGCTATGATGAAATTAAGGAGCGTTTTGGAGCTAATATGGAGTATTGAAGGCCAAGTAAAAGTTTATGAAATAAATTAGGATCCCATTTGAGGATCGAAGGAGGTTAGCGCACTTAAAAAGAAGAACGAAGAAGAGTCCATGAGATTGCCCAGGTGCGCGGTTGGTGCGCGGTCACGCACTGGGCCGTGCAAGTCAGGCAGAAACAGGCCAAAGTACGCGTCCAGATGCGCGGTCACCTGCCCAGGTGCGCGGCCGCGCACGTCCCTCCGAGAAAAAAATATTCCAAGGCTAAAATTGTAATTCCATAGGCGACCATCCTTGACCTATATGAAGCCCAGCTCGCCCAAAAAGAGGGTATCTTGGTTTTTAGAAGAATCTTGAAGGCAAGAACAGGCAAGGAGCAAGACGGAAGTTTCGAAAAGGAGTTTTTATCTTTCTTTCTCCCTTTTTTATCATTGATGATGAATTCTTATGTTGTGATTGTTAAAACAATTATAAGTAGCTAAACTCTTTGTTCTAGGGTTTGATGGAACCTCTTGGATGATGAATCTTTGTTGTGTTTAATATAAATTTGCCATTGAGTTTTCTCTACTTGTTCAACTACGTGATTATTGTGGTTGATTGAAGGGCCCTCAATCGGCTATGCCTATTTAGTGTGTATTACTCGGAAAAGGGTACACGTTTAGGTAGTTATTGAACAACATCACTCCTAACGTATATGAGGGATCAATACGGAGGGTTTAAAGGTGGGTTTAGGAATAACGAAACCTTGGTGCGATTGTAGTGAGCGGTAAACTAGTGCTAGCTAGCGTAATTCGAAAGAATACATTTAGTAAATTATTGTATTTACTCGAAAGAGAATTACGACACTTAAAGTGCTCACGATCGGTAAAGAGTATATAGGCAAATTTGTAACAGACATAGCAGGGAGGATTTCGATAAGAGGAAAAATCGTAACTCTAGACCTTCCTAATCTTGTCTACAAAAGTTGCTTTGTTAGTAATAAAATTTATAACTTTTTAATTACCTTGTTAATTGTTATTAAACACTCAAGTCATTATTCTATCTTATTAGAAGTTGAGTATTTGGATTCTTGCTGAACTAAAAGTTGTGATTAGTAAGTTAATTTCCTGCGGGATTCGACTCCGGACTTGTAAAATCGAATTATATTTGCAACGACCGCTTAGTCATTTTTATAAGGCATAGTTGGGCATAATCATGATACATATTGTATTGAAAGATAGTACTCCCTCCGTTTCAAATTAGACGAGGTACTTTCCTTTT